GTCATCTGTCCCCAGATGGCACTAGTGCTGAGGTGGAGAATCTTTGAGCTGGGGGTTACTGTGCTGGGGTTGGTATGACAAGTCTTCGAACTCCTCACCTAAGATTTTTGCATGTGTGTGAGTGACAGCCAGGGTGACTGGAGCTCCTTACACTGGCTCACAAGGGCCAGTGTGGCTTCCCTCCCAGCCCTGCTGCTGGAGGTGTCTCTGATCCTGGTGGGAGTGTTTACACCACGGAGATGGGCACACAGTGCAGATCCGGGCTCTGTGTTCTGGACCGATAGTTGTTAGACATTCATCAGCGTGCGCTGGTCACACTTCGGTGGAAAGAAGAACACAAACAAGAAGGATCCCCCCAGCCCCACCCACTGCAGTTCTCACTTAATTGGAGTGGACTAGGGCCCCGCATCTCTTATTTTTTAAATTCCCCCAGGCGAGGCTAGTGTGCGCCCAGACTTGAGAAGCCTTGCTCTAGGGACAGCTCAGGAATGCTCCCCTGGGAAGGGATGTTTGAGTGGAGACCCCCAGCTGTTAGCAAGGCAAGGGGCAGGACGGAGGTGACCCAGGCTGAGAGAGCAGTTCACACAAAAGCCAAGCAATCGAGCCAGCCTTGTCACTGGTCACCACAGTTTGCTCTCTACGACCATTGAACACCATTTGGGAACCACCCAGGCTACATCTTTAAAACACAGTTCTTGGACACAGCATTTCCAGGTGGGGCCCCAAGAATCTGTATTCTTTACAAGCTCTGCTCTAGCGGTTGTGGCTCACTGCAAGGGCAGAACCGAAGGGAACTGAGTGCGGCTGGGACAGAGAGGGAAGGGAGCTGATGACCGAGGTGGAAGGGAGGCGGGGCCAGGCCTGAGAGGCAGGCAGAGCCCACCTCCTCAGACCTGAGGCTCAGCCGAGGTCGCGGGTTCAGATTCAGGTGGGCCTAGGGCTCTGCACTTCCCCAAGCTCGTGGTGGTGCTGGTCTGCCGCCGCCTAGACCAGTCTGAGCGGCGGGCTGTAAACCAGCGCGTCCACCGCTGTGGGTCACGGCAGTCCTGCTCCACAGGCTTTCAGTGGCTGACCTCAGTGGAAGAGCTCCAGGTGCCTCTGGGTGGACTCGACCCTGTAACCTTTTGGTTAGCAGCCCAGCGTGTAACGTTTGCACCCCTAGAGGCTCCTTTGTATAGAGCTTGGAGTTTTTATTCTAAAGGGTTCTGGGGGTTATGGATGGGTTTTATACACCAGGAGGGACACTTTGCAAGCTCAGTTTCCCTAAGTGCCCTTGGCTTTAGAGGCTGGACTGCAGGGGGACAAGCAGGAGGTGGGAGGACCCGATGGACAGCTGTTTTTGGAGGTGTCCAGGGTGGAGGTCCGGAAGGTAGGGACAGCCGGCAGAGCCCCTGAAGCCCACATAAGCACCCATGTCATCTTGGGTTCCTGCTGATGGCTTGAGCTCCTCCAGGAAGTAGCCCCCAGGGCGCACTGCCAGCGTGGATCCCACGATAAAGCCCTGTGATGTGTCCTGATGTATCCCTAGCGCTCTCAGTGGTACAAGATGTACCCGCGTACAAAGGAACAGGCAGCTTGACCCAGGTTAGCGTGGCTCTCTGGAAAATCACCCATCTGAGCCAAACAGCCTTGAGAATCCACTCCTAAGGCCCAGCAAAGGCAAACAAAGACGTTGGAGAGCCGAGCATCTCGGTAACAAATCGAGCAACCCTCGGACGCCCAGGCCACCCTCCCCCGCGGACCACCCACAGTTCTCCGTCCCCCACAGACTTCTGTGACTTCAGCTGCTGGATGCCCCCACCAGCAAAGTTTAGAATGTGTTTATTAAACACCCTTGGTGGGCTCGGCCGGCCGAGCCAGCGACTTGCGGGATAAGTCAGGTCCTCTCTGTGCATCAGATGCTGTTGCCTGTGGGGTCTTAGGAGCTATGTGGAACACCAGCAGCCTGACTCCATCCTTGCACTCAGGAGCCACACTTGGAGGGAAGGAAGGGCAGCTTTTGCTCAGGTCTCTGTGCTCTTCGTCTTCGGCAAATCCAGCTGTGGATCTCAGCCTTGGCGCACACGAGGGCAGCTGTGACATCCCTCTTGTCCTGGCCCCACCCAGAGACCCTGTTTGAATTGTTCTGGGCTGTGGGGTACTTAGAAATGCCCCCGGGGGACAGCTGTCAGGCCAGCGTGGGGAAGCCCTGGTGTAGAAGGAGCTCAGGACTGGAAGGAGGAGAGGGCGGCAGTTAGAAGAAATCAGGGAAGACTTCACAAAGGAGGGAGTCTGAACAGGATCTCAGAGGCTCTGAAAAGCCAGTGTGCGACAGGGAACCTGGCTTTGTTGTCAGGGAGACCTGGTTTCAAGTCTCCGCCCCTCTGTTTATGGACAGGATAGTAATATGCCCCTTCAAGAGATGGCCAAGAATGGCTTCTAGCAGCATAGTCTGGGGGTACCAACACCCTAGCCCTGTGGTGGTGTGACTGCCCGTTATGGTGCCCTCCCACGTGGGGGCTGACATGTAGAAGCACTTGGTGAGAGGAGGCGCTTCAGCCAGGCTCAAGGCTCTGACAAGTCCTGCCACAGAGCCCTCATTTAATTGTCTGTAGCCCAGAAATTCTCAAACAAATTGGCCATTAATTATACCACAGAGCTCTTTTCTCAATTAACACCTATTAATACCTTGCATGAGGCAATCAGATGATGGGGGGTATGACCCAAGAGGGGGGTGGAAGAGCCTGAGGCTGTGAACAGGCTGGGCCTGCAGACTGGCCCAGACTAGATTCCTCCGGTAGCCTTCCAGGTAGAGGGGGTCCTGAGCTCTCTCCCCTGGTAAGGTGTGCATAGAGCTGGGGCCTTGGCCTTGCTCTGGAGGAAACTCCAGTTATCAGGCTTCGGGGCGGCTGGCCGCTGGGGTAAGCCCCTAGAAGGGAAATCACATAGCAGGTCTTAAGTGTGTCAGGAAGGTAGCCCCGGAAGGCTTCTCGGTGCAGGTGAATGCCAGGGGCCTCCTGGGTGTAGCGAATGGATTGACACTGGCTCATTCATTCGGCACGGCTTTACTGAGCACCTCCTACGTGGTGGACTATAGGGTGTGCCGCAGGCAGCCAGCCCGTTTGGATATTGTCTCCTCCTCTTTTTATCCCGAGGCAGTGAGGGCTGATCCTTAGTCTCCTCCCTTGTCCTACGGGCATTGTGCTGGTGCTGCCACAAAGGATTGTCATGGGGACTCGGAGAGGCTGTTTGCAGGGTGCTAGAGTTAGCAGGGTGCCATGCTCATCAGCCTGCACCATGCAGTTTTTATGACTTTACTGCAAGCGGGTAGGCACCTGACTCACGTGCCCTCCCCCTCCTCTCCCACAGCCGCGATAACTCGCCCAGCCTGAAGGAAATCCGGAACGGCTGCCAGCAGCCATGCGACCGGAAGCCCACCTTACCTCTGCGCCTTCTGCACCCCAGCCCAGACCTGGTGTCTCAGGAAGCCACGCTGTCCGAGGCGCGCCTCAAGTCGGTGGTCGTGGCCTCCAGCGAGATCCACGTGGAGGTGGAGCGCACCAGCACTGCCACGCCGGCGCTGACGGCCAGTGCGGGCAATGACAGCGAGCCCAACCTCATCGACTGCCTCATGGTCAGCCCCGCCTGCAGCACCATGAGCATCGAGCTGGGCCCCCAAGCTGACCGCACCCTCGGCTGCTACGTGGAGATCCTCAAGCTGCTGTGAGTGTCCCGCCGCCGGGCTCCACGAGCAAGGGGAGGGCGCGGGGTGGGAGCTTTGCAGCCAGTGTGTCCGTGGCTGAGTGGTTGGGTTCGTGGGTTCACACTTGTGTTGGAGTGTGTGTGTGTGAGTGCAGGTTTGCGTCCGAGTGTACGAAAGCATCTGTTCTGGCATAGGCACAAGTGGCTTTGCAGGTGTGTGAGCTGGGAAAAGCTGTGTGCATGAGCATGTGCAACATGGGGTGCATGTGAGGCTATGTTTGAACATTATGCCTGAGGTCTGTGCACACATATGTGGTATGTGCACAAACATGCATGTGTGAGTACATATGTGTGTGTCTACACACATCTGCTATGACATGCATGCCCACAAGTGTCTGGGACAGTGCAGATGTCTGCAGTTGGGGAGGTGTGTGGACTCATTCTGGTGAGTTTGTGGGTGCCTTTATGCGTGCAGAAGTAGCTGTGGGTGTGGGGGTGACAGTGCAAATGTGTGTGTGTATGTGTCTGTGTTATCTGCCTGTAGGAGCTGGATGTGGCCTTGTGTGTGGATGGCTGAGTAGATATTTGTGGGCACCTGTAGGTGCGTTTTGAGTGTGTGTGTGTCTGTGTGTTTGAATGCACTAGTGTAGGTGATTGGGCACCTGTGCTGGATGTGTACACAGACAGCTATGGGCACACACTCGTTGGACATGAGTGTGCAAGGGATGTGAAGAGTGTTTGTGTGTGTTTCTGTGTGTGTGCGGGTATGCTTGTGAGCCCTGGTATGAGTCTGTGTGTTGTGTGGTCCATACATGCTTGTCTCTATGTGATGTGTGATTGTGGTTTGTGTGTGGGTCTCTGTGTGTGACTGCACCTGTGTGCTTGGGTGGCAGGTCTAGTGTGTGGGTGTGTAGCGAAAGAGCGTGTGTGTGTGTATGGCTGCATGTGTGTGTGTTATTCGCTTGTGAGTGTATGTATATGTGGTGGGGGGTGCCCTTTGTAAGAGGGAATGTTTGAAGAACAGCTCTTCTGGAATTGTCAGGTTGTCACAACCTCTCTACCTCATCCTGGGTGAGCTTTGTGCTGGGGAGTGCAGAGGATGGGTGCAGAGGAGGGGTGGGGGTGGGGTCCAGGCTCAGTGGCGAAGCTCTAGACGAGAGCTGAGGTCTACTCTGGGAGGTGCTGCTTCTGAGCTGGGTGACCTAGGCCCACCTCTGCCCTTCTCTGGGCTCCAGGTCTGTGATTCTAGAACGAGGGATGGCTTTCATCCTTGAGGACCCCCAGTGGCCTTTCCAGCTCTGCATTCATCCCTCTGCCTTCTCGACTCATCTCAGACTCACGCGTGCTTTTCCTGGGACCTCAGTTTGAGGCCCCTGGCTGTGCCCTCCGACTGCGCCGAGCTTCCTGCAGCTCCCTGGGAGGCCTCAGCAGATGCACCTCTCACTCCCTCAGTCCCTCAGTCCCTGCCCTTCACATTAGAGCAATCCACCGAGAGACCCCGAGTCCAGACGTGTGTCCACACGCGGTCGGTGATGGTGTCCTTGCACTGCCCCAGCACGTGGCACCCACACAGAGCTAGCACACCAGAGCCCCCTGATTTTGGGAGGTGGCTGCTTGGAACCCTGGGTGCTCATGGCTGGTGGGTGCTTCGTACGGCCCCGATGTGTTTGTTCCTCACTCACCATCACACTGCTGCCCCAGCGTGTGCAGGGTTGGTGGGTGCTGGTGAGCTGGAGAGGCAGGCTAGGGGACCGAGGGCTGCTCTGAGAGCCAGCCTTGTGGTGTCTGTGAAGGTGCACGTGCACACGCCTGCATACTCACTTGGACTTCTGGCGGCTGCAGGGAGAGCTGGACAGCAGCACCCGTACTTTCTATTGGACCCTTCAGCCAGAGGCCCTTGCTTGGCCCCTATGGCTGGTGACAGCCTAATTCCAGGCTCTAGGAGCACTGGTAGCATAGTGGCTAAGACACTTGCCTGCTAACCAGACGGCTGGCGGTTCAAACCCACCAGCCACTCCTCGGAAGGAAGGTTGGGCAATCCTACTTCCGTAGTGATACTGCCTCAAAAACCCAAGGAGGGGTCGCTATGAGTCAGGGCCGACTCGATGGCAAACAACAACAACAACAACAACAGGAGCAGGACAGCAGGAAAGGGAATCCCAGACTCCGTCTGCGAGAACCAGCTGTGGTCTGGGCCCCCTGCTCCTAGCAGTGGGGGTCATGCCCCCGAGGGGCAGGTCAGCTGGGGCCCTGCGGTCCTCTAGGGGGGCTCCTGGCTCGAGTCACAGCAGGGACTGCCGTGCAGCTGACGTTGCGCGGGCTCTCCCCCTTGCACCTGGCTCTGCTGTTTCCCGCAAATGCCGAGAGCTCCCAGGCCTTCTGCCGTCTTGGGCCCAGACTTGCACTGCTCATTAAGCGTTAAGGGTTTGAGTTTCATCATGCAGTTGACACACTTTTTTTCTTCCTTCATAAACAAGCTTGTGAATGAGGGCTCTGTTCTTCCTGGTCGGCTTCCAGACCCCCTGCCTGCCCGCATGGCCCAGCTGCCAGGCCGTGGGCGGCTGTGGCTTCCACTGGGTGGGGGTCCAGGCCGGCTCATGGTGGGAGCCCGGGGAAGTTTCTCACAGGGCCGTGGGAGAAATGGAGGTGGGCGGTTTCCCTGCTCTGAGCAGGTCTCCACAAAGCAGGGCTTATGCTTCCGGAAACCTGTTTTACCTTGGGGGCACTCAGGCCACCATGTGGGCCGTTGTTGGCTCCCTGGTAACTGCTTTCCTCCTCTGACCCTGCTGGCTGCTGGCGTCACTGGCTTATTAGCAGCGAGAGTCCAGCATGTTGGTCCAAGTGACCACAGCATCTCTGAAGGCTCCGAAGTATGACACGTGGGTGAAAGCACAGACTCGCAGTTAGATGGTCTTGGGTTCGAGTCCCCGTTGTGCCACCCCTGCATTGTCACCTGCTAAGCTTCGTGTCCTCTCTGAGCTGCAGTTTCCAGCTGGACAGTGCTGCCTTTGGGCCCCAGGGTGCCCTTTGCAGGGGCCCCTGAGCACCTTCCACGGGGACACTCTGGCTGAGGGGAGTTAGGTGGTTTACGATTACCGCTCTGTTGCCTCTAGTCTGAGTCCCAGTGGTACGGACAGTTAGTGACTGCTAACCAAAAGGTTGGCAGTTCAAACCGCTCAGAGGCACTCAGAAGACTGGACTGGCTGTCTGCGTCCGAAAGGCCACAGCCTGGAAGACCCTGTGGAGAGTTCCGCTCTGCACACAGGGCGCCAGGGGGCCGAGTTGACCTGACAGGCGGTTTGGTCCTCCATTTTAAGATGCTCTGAGAGAGATGTAGTGCTGATGTAGTGGCAGCATGCAGCGGAGCTGCCATGAGGGGGTGTGTGTTCCGTTTTCCCTTCAGCCCCCATCTGGCCGTTTGTCACGAGGGGCCTAGATGGGCTGGAGCTCGGCTGAAGGAAGGACCATACCTGCAGGGTCTTTCGGGAAAACGCAGGCGGGTTTGTTTCTGGTTGTCACTGAGTCGGTGCTGGTGCCTGGAGCCCCGTGTGCACATGTGGCTGCTGCAGAGCGTTTTCCAGGCTGTACCTTTCAGAAGGTCACCAGCCTCGCTCCTGACGCACCTCCGGGCACCCTGGGGCCCGAAGGCAGCACTGTCCAGCTGGAAACTGCAGCTCAGAGAGGACTTGAAGCTTAGCAGGTACACTGCAGAGGTGGCACAACGGGGACTTGAACCCAGGACCATCTCCGGGTGTGTTTGAGCCGCAGACCTTCAGGCTCATAATCGAGCGTGTGTCCATTAGCGCCACCCAGGGTCTCCCAGACAGATGTGGCTTGTCCTCATGACAGGAAGGCATTAAGGCATTACTGGGACCTGGAGGGCAGGAGCCAGGTGGCAAATGTCCCGGATTACAGAGAGTCCCCCCTGTGCCCCAGCACCACCGAGAAGACATCTGGAGCTTGGAGCAGGGAAGGGGGCCGTTTTAGGGTCTGGGGAGCCGTGTCAGACAGGAATGGCTGAGACAGGGACATGGGAAGCGATGTTGCTTGAGTGGCCCTCACCCAGATCTTCGGGCTCCACTGGCTTCTGTCTGGTCATGAATGTTTCTAAGGCTTGAGGAAGTGGGAGACAGGGGTGCTGTGGTGATGAGAAAATGTTGGGAAACCCTGAACTTGAAACACGGAGGAGCCTGGGGTCACGCATCCCAAATCAGGCCTGGTGCTGGGCCCGTCTCAGCACCCGCAGGCCTCTCCTGGGCGGTACCAGGCATCTGGGCCGCCCAGCACTGCATCACCCCCTGCCCAACTCAGGCTGTGGGTGGAGGGCTCAGGTCCCCCTTGGAGCCATTCAGGTCTTTCCTGAAATGCCATCCTGAATGCCAGGCCTGGGGTCCAGAGGTAAGACACAAGCTGCCCCTTCCAGGGCTGGGGCGAGAGCAACAGGGACTGTTGTGTAGCTTGGGGAGGGACAGCCCTGCCATCCTTACTCCACATGTGAGGATTGGGGTCTGGGAGGGGCCCAGCTTGGCTGACGATGGCCGGTAGGTAGTTCCTGAACCTGAAAGAGCAGACTGCCTCTGGATTGGCTTTTTAGCCCAGTCCCTGCAGCCAGAGACCGAGGGCTGTAGGTCAGTGAGACTGGTTATAAATGCCATGTGTCCGGCTGCGATTTGCCCAGGAAGGCTCTAGGGTTGGGTGGAGAGAGCTTGTGGCCCGAGAAGCACATCTGATGCCAAATCTCACCTCTCCCAGCTGGGGACATGTGGTGACTCACAGAACATCACTGAGCCTCAGTTTGCCCACCTGAAAATGGGGGTTGTGGAATTCCTGTTTTGTGGGGTGCAGCAGCCAGTCTAGGCTCTTGAGGCCCCGGGCTGGAGGAGAGCATGGCTCTGTAGCCACACCTGACAGGTTAGGGAGCAGGTGGAAAACGGACTTGGGTCGGGTCAGTGTGAAGTTTCTGTGAGGTGGCTCTGCATCTGGTTCACAGGGCAGTTCAGGTTGAGTGGTGGCTGTTGCTCACAGTTGTGTGAACAGTGCTTTTGTTACTGGACCATGGTGTGCCAGCACCGAGCAGGCCAGACACCCTTGTACCTGGCTGCATCCAGGCAGGACATGGTGCGTGGCGTGGCAGGGCCTCTTGCCGTCTCCTGCATTGTGATCGGCCCTCAGTGAAGAGTGTACCTCTGCCAGCATCCAGTCCCCGTGACATAAAAGGCCACCTTGTGGAAGGGGGACAAGGAGTAAGACCAGCTCGGAGCCGGCCTGGTGTGGTCCCACCATCACTGTGGGTGCTGCCTTGTTCTAACTGGTTGTCCCCTTCCTGACTTGGATCAGCCTGGGTGTGACACCTTGGCAGCCACTCCAAGCTGTGTCAGCTCCCTCAACTTTTCCAGCCTCCCCATGTATCTCTGAAAAGTGAGAGGCTCAGAGGGGCAGGAGATATGGGACCCTGGCGGCCACACTGGGTGTTAAATGCCGTCTTCTCTGGGGCCTGGGAACGGAAGGGTATGCAGCACAGGCAGCGTGACCAAAGGTATAGGCCTTCCGGCCAGGCCCTCGGCCCTCCGTGATGGTGTGTTGTGAACCCTCCTTGTCCACGCCAAGCCTAACCTTCCCCTCTCCCAATCCAGGTCAGACTACGATGACTGGAGACCATCTCTGGCCAGCTTGCTTCAACCCATTCCATTCCCCAAAGAGTAAGTCCATGCATGTTTCCGAAACCCTCCAACCTGTGACAAACACCTCCATTGCCTGCTGAGGCCTTGGTGGGGGGACCAACCCTTTTAGACGACTTGTCAGGTCACAGTGGGAGGGCCAGACCAAAAGCCAGACAGAGGTGAAGCTATTGGTGCAGACTTGGTCACGTCCTCTGTATGGGGCCCCAGTGGTCACCTTGCCCTTGCTAAGATGGTCAGAGTTGCCTCCTGGGACTGCCATAAGGCTGCAATGAGATCAGGACACAAACAGACCCCTCCATGGTGCCTTGCAGGCAGTCCTGTTAGCTGTCCTTATGGTAGGCAGACGGGAATGCTGAGGCCCCCCCTTTCCCTCCAGAGGGCGATGGAGAGAAGCAGGAGGTGGTGTGAGGCAGCCCACCGTGAGACACACACCGTGCCCAAATGGGGTGACCTGGGTGCACTCTGACTGCGTCCACTGTGTGTGTAAGCTATGCGCTGTGACTGGCTGGAAGTGGCCTGCACTGCCCTCTCGCTGGTCTGCCCCCACTATTGAATCTGTCACAGGAAGGCAGGAACACTGTCTGGTATAAACCTCTGGAATAGGCTTGGTCTGAGTTACCAGGCCCAGGCGTGCCTCTAGGCCTCTGTTTTGATAGATAGAGGAGCTGGGCCTCCAGAGGCCGCATGAGCTCTCAGTAGCCCATTAACGAGCCTGTGTTTGTGCAGTGTGGCTCTCTGAGGGGGACATTACACTCAGTAATTGCCCCATTTGCTGGCCTGGCAGGTCTCAGCGCCACCTCCACCAGGACCTGAAACCGGAGAAATTTTACTCCTGAGACCGTTGCTGTCTCCAAGGAGCAATGGCGTCACAGGCCACAGTGCTGTCCCTGCAGGTCAAGGGCGCTGGAGAGTGGCCCGTGATGCAATTCAAATGGAGGAGTGTTCCCTGGGGCCCCCCTGACATGCCCGGTGATTAGCAGGGCCACATCTTAATTGTGGAACAATTAACGCACACACCTGGGTCCCTGGTGCCCGTGTGTGGCCCGTGCACCCGGGTCAGTGCCACCTCTGTATACCTGTGTGCAGCTGTATACAGCCCCTGGCAGTAGCAGAGGGCGTGTTAAGCCTGTTAACTGCGACCCAGCACCTTGTCAGAGGGGCCTTTGTTTTCCGGTTCTGAGTAGAGCCGGATGTCGGAATTCCACTTTCGCTCCCTCCTCATCCTTGAGTCAGATGTGAGGACCAGGCACCCCAGGGCGCAGTCTGCAGCCCAGGGCACCGTCCGGAGTGGGCCTGCTAACTGGACTCTTCCTTCTTTGTTTCAGAGCTCTCGCACATGAGAAGTTCACCCAGTGAGTGTTTGGGCGGCGCCCATGTTACCTGCCTTTGTCATACACCCTGTGTCCTGGGGTCAGCCCCTTGGTGGCCAGCCCTCCTCGAGCCCTTGCTCTGTGTCACGTGCATCCTGGTCTCCCACGGCCTCCCGGTGGCCCCTGGACATTGTGCGCTACATGAATCCAGGCCTTTCCAGGAATTTCCTGGGACAGGCCAACACACCCTGGCCCGTCAGCACTGCCTGCTCCCCCACCCTGCTCCTTCTCTGGGCTGCCTCCCAGTCCCCACCCTTCTCCTGATGCCCACCCCTTCCCAACCAGCCAGGACCTTCGGGTGATCTCACTCTGGCCTCTTTCAGGGAACTGAAGTATGTGATCCAGAGGTTTGCGGAAGACCCACGGCAAGAGGTGAGCCTGTCTCCTGCCAGTGCGGGCGCTCTCCTGGGCACAGAACAGCCCCCTGTGGCTTTGTGGGGGGCCTTTGTGACTGGCAGGCTCACAGCCTATTGGCTAAGGCCTCATGTAGAAACAGACATCCATCCTGAGTGTCTGGGCCTGCTCGTGACATCAGTGTCTTACTGTAAGCTCCACTGACCAGCGTTGGTTTTCCACTGGGCTGGTGGCCTCTCCACCAATCCAACTGAGGCCTTGACTCAGGGGTGACCCAGCCTGGGGCTGCCAACTAGCTTCGTGACAGTGTTTGATCCTCCCTGGTCCCACTAGCCTGCGGATCCAAGGGCTGGGAGAGTCATGTGATCCTTGGATCAAGTATGGTTTTTACTGCCTGGGTGTCTGGGCAGAAGGCCTCCCCAAAGCTGTGTCCAGCGTGAGGGCCACCTGCGCCCTGAGCCCAGTGTGAAGGAGTAAGGACACAGGGCTAGGAAGGCGCCTCAGGGCCTTTCTCCTCCCGTCACATTAAGGAGCCCTGGTGGTCCAATGGTTAGGCACTCAGCTACTAGCCTAAAGGCTGGCAGTTCAAACCACCAGCTCTTCGCAGGAGAAAGACCTGGTCCTCTGCCTTCATAAAGATTATAGCCCAGCAAACCCCGTGGAGCAGTTTTGCTCTGCCACACGGGGCTGCTGAGAGAGTCCGTGCAATAGTACCACCTCCCCCTCCATCAGTACAGTGATAGCAGTAGAACGGGCAACACTTAGTACCACACGTGACGCATGGACCTTTCCTTGGGTAATCCGTACAAAAACCTGGGGAGGCAGCTTCTGTGTATCCCCATTTTACTGCTACCTCTTGGGGTTGAGAACATGGCAGTTACATCTCTAAGGTCACACATCTTGGTTAGTGGCAGGGTCAGGATTTGAACCCAGGAAGTCCACCTCCAGACCTGTGTTTAGACACAGCTCTTCAGCATCCACTGGGCAGGCCAGAGCTGCAAAGATGACTGGACTCTGGCCTTGTCCTTGGGGAGCTCAGGGCCCACTTCTTGTCCATGCATGAGGGTGTATGATAATGTGAACTCCCAGGGGGGCACAGACCTGGACACATTTGCATCACACAGAGCAGGGAGGCTGCGTGGGCAGAGGGGACAGCCAGGCATTCTTTTTTTTAAGAGTTTGCATTGCTGTTTGTCATTTAAGATTCAGGTTTCAGGTTTAATACAAAAACCCCAGAAAATTAACAGTTATAGATTTAATCCTTGTATAAATTGTTATATTTTAGAAGGATGGTGAGTTTGTATCTAGATATGATTGTTGCACTGAAAACTAGAAACCTGAAAATTCCTAAAGCAACCAGAATGTACTCTTTCATAGCAAAGGAAACCCAGGTGGCAGCCAGGCATTCTTGATGGAGCAGTCCAGGGAGGCTTCCTGGAGGGAGTGATGCTAAACTGATTGGACTTGGCTGCATGGACTGAGGTTAGGTTGGAAAACCTTACCTGGGCCTGGAAAAGCCGGTATTGAGCAAGAGGGTAGGTGGGGGTTGGAGAACATATTTGGGGGCACAAAAACACCGAGGCCTCACCGTGTATCCAACCATCACAGGTCTCCACGGTCCAGACCTCGCTTTTTTAAGCTGCAAGATCCAGCTGTTCTGGAGCAGTGGTTCTCAAATGTAACTGCCCAAGGAGCTTGTTCTAAAAGCTGACATCCTTAGAGATTCCAATTCATTGGTTCTGATGTGATGTCTTTAGGGCAAACTGAAGAATTTAGTTCTAGAAGGAGGTACCCCTAACATAGTGATTCTAAACCCTGGCTCTGACCCGTCCATTGATGGGAAAAATCAGACACAAGGGGGGCCAGGGCCGAGCTCCCGTTTCCCACCCCCCCACACACACACACACCCTGCTGTGTGTGAAGACACATAGCTCCTCAGGAAAAGAAAGCTTTTGTTTTAGGTATAGACTTTGAAGGTGGAGAATAAAAGTGGTACCAGCTGCTTCCCAAAGCAGTGAGACAGAGACAGTTGGCAGAACAGAGATTTCCAGGGGCAGGGCAATATTCCTGCTGCCCCAGGGAGCAGCCCCTTAGGAAGGGGGGCGCCTTCGGGCCGCAGCACCCAGCATCTGCCGGCGTGTTGCCCCTGGCCTCGCTCCCTCAGCCCTTCCTCTCGCTGCCTCTCCTGTGCTGCCTCTCCTGTTCGTCTCTCTCTCCATTTGGCCTCCTCATTCTCCCTCCTTTTCTTCCCTCTCCTCCTCCCTCCTCCTTCCCTCCTTGTCAGTGAAGCCACAGTGTGGTGGGGGGTGCACAGTGGAACAAACACCGCCTGGTCCAGCCATAGTACCACCATCGGTCCTGGGTGCTGACCGGCTATTGGTCCTGGGCGCTGACCGGCTGTGTGTCCTGGGCGCTGACCGGCTGTGGGTCCTAGGCGCTGACCGGCTGTGGGTCCTGGGCGCTGACCGGCTGTGGGTCCTGGGCACTCACTGGCTGATTGACAGAACTCCATCACCAGGCCTTTCTTCCTACTGCATCTTAGTCTGCAGCCTCCACTGACAAGACAGGCAGTGGCTGAGCATGAGATGCATAGGCTGGGACCCAAGGCTGGATCTCCCACATGGAAGGCGAGAATTCTACCACTGACCCACCAGATAAAGCCATAGTTACCTTCTAAGTGTTGCCTTATTTACTGAATAGACTTTCACCTCTTGAGCCCGCATGTCTCTGAAGTAGATAGGTGAGCAGTGTTTTCCACTCCGAGGGTTGGAACCAAAGCCCGCCTGCCTGTGTGTCTGTTTCCCTGGGTGGGGCTCTGAGCGGCTGAGTGTCTGAGTCAGCAGCTCCCACACGGCGCCGTCCTGCCCTCCCGGAGGAGATCAGGCGTCTCTCCGCTTTCCTGAGTGTGGGGAGGAGGGTGGGAAGGCCTTTGCCTCTCTCTCTGCAGTCACTGCGGGGGCTGCAGTGGATGTGGAATCCTCCCAAACACGCTCACACACATCCACACACGCGCAGACGTGGAGCTCTGGGAAGGTCTCGGAGGAAATGGTGCTGAGTCCGAGCGGTTGCTCTGACCCTGTCTCCACCCTGATCTGCCCACTGATGTGGTCCTGGAGCACCCATCCCAGGAGCTGACAATGAGTGGTTGGAGTCCCCCAGTTTATGGACACCACACTTCCCCCAAAATAATATCTCCTATGGAATTTAGTGGGTTTTTCTCAACAACAACTACAAAAACTGGGGAAGGAGATCAAAGAAGTCGGGGGTCGCTGGGCTGAACGAACACAGGGTTCTTAACTGTAGGATTTATCTGAGCCTTTAATGTGCATATGTACGGATCCCACGTCACTGTTGCCACGGGGTCTGCATGGAACTCAGAGATTGTGTCTCTCTGTCCGGCAGGTCCACTCATGCCTGCTGAGCGTGCGGGCCGGCAAGGATGGCTGGTTCCAACTCTACAGCCCTGGGGGGGTGGCCTGTGATGACGACGGGGAGCTGTTTGCCAGCATGGTAGGTGACGTGGTGCCGCGAGTCCAGTGGGGAGCGTCTGGCAGGCACTGGGTTTGCCTCTCCTGCCTTGTGAGATAGCTGCCCGGACACTGTGGCCCAACCCCAGGCATTTCCAGGCTAAACTCATGCCGGTGCTGAAGGTGACGATGATGATGGGGGCCACACCTGTGACTCATTTATGTCATACCCAAGCCTGAATGTCCCATGATACTGATACTGAGCCGAGGGCTTGATGTGCGTCACCTCACGGTCTCCCAGTGGCTCTGGGAGGTGTTGCTTACTGTTAATGCCCATTTTACAGATGAGGCAACTGGGGCCTAGAGAGTAATTGTCCAAGATCACGCATCTAATTGTGGGGCTAGGTTACCCACAAGATGCTAAGCATGCCCCAGGGATTCCAAAAGGCCCTTGGTGTCCACAAGCTCACTGAATCCTTATGGTGAGGCATCAAAGTCAGGACCCCCAACAGGTGAGGGACCGGAAGCCACAGAACACAGAGCCATGTTCATACTGACTTCTGGCACGCACTTTGGGCCAGACGCTATGTTGAATACACACACTGTCTTTTAATATTCGTGATACCCTTTACCCATTAAGGACCCTTGTGTTGAAACAGAGACCCAGAGAGGGCTCAGTGGCTTGCCTGGGGCCACTTCCCGTGCCCCCAGGTCCCAGCAGGCAAGTGCCATCTCCTGACATTCCTCCAAGGCAGATGCTCCACTCAGGTGGCTGGTGACCTCAGCTCTTCCTCTTGCCCCCAGCCCCGCTTGCCTGTCACTCCTATTCGCAGGCTGACAGGCCCGGGGGAGCATGTGGCCTTCTTCACACCTGGGTTCACAGCCCAGCCCGGCCACACCGTAGCCCTATGACCTCGGGCTAGTAACTTGGCCACCTGTGCACTGGCTTTGCTCAGCCTGGCCTCCAGGGTTGCCATAGCGATGGTGCCGCAGTGGGTGCTGGAGCCAGTGCCAGCCAGCATGGGAAATGGTGGCAAGATGGCCCTGGTCTCCGCCGCAGCCAGTTCAGGGCTGCAGGGCACAGAGCTCTCCCTCCGCAGTGAGCCTGCTAGGGACAGTGGCACAGTGACGACAAACCGGGGCACTGCTCGGGAACCTGTCTTGAAGGGCTTATTTTTAGGTGCTCTTCCTTACGCACATCTCCACTCCCCGCCTGCTGCCTGCTGCCCCCTTCCAGTGGCCTGTGCATCCTGGGAGCAGCCTGTCCCCACCCTGCCCACGCCGCTTTCTCTCTGGCTTTTACTTTCTCCTTGACGTCACAGCCTTCACCATGGCAACACCTGGTGGTCCCGCTCACCCTCGGTGCGGGACTCGATGGGAGAGTGATCTCGGAGCTGGCAGCCGCCCCTGGGAGACCTCATTTGTATGCCAGAGTTGTTAATGGTGAAGCAGGAAAGAGACGTGGGGAGGGAAGCAGGCAGCCACTTGGATGGAAACGCATTGTTTCCATGGAGACACATGGCGCCGAAGAGGTCCCCTTGGCGAGGCTACTGTTTCCAACGACAGATGGGCACGTGCTACTGCATGAAGTTGGGGGGAGCGATTGGAGTGCCTCTGTGGGCTGGGGCCTCTGCTATTGGGTCCCCATCATCTCTAGATGTGCCAGGAAGAAAGCCAGGCTTTCAGGCTGCCCTGCAGCTAGGATGGGGCAGCGTTGCCACATCTCAGATTTCTGGGGCAGTGGAGCTCCTGGGATGCCTTTCAGGGCCAGTGGGGGCCTGGAAAGGGGAAGCTGGGTCCTTAGCACATCCTCCTCTCACACGCTCTGATTAAGGATGAGAACCCAAAGGCGCAGAGGGCAGCAGAACCCTGAGGGCCTGGGGAGGGATCTTCCCCCAGGAGACTCCAGGGTGGTTTCCGACCCAGCTGCTCAGAGAGAGTGTGGTGGGTTGTCACCATCCTCTGATGTCCCTCATCCACCCTGGACAGTGTCTCCCCCTTCCTTTACCTGGGCTTTCCTCCGCTGCAGGTGCACATCCTCATGGGCTCCTGTTATAAGACCAAAAAGTTCCTGCTCTCCCTGGCAGAAAACAAGCTGGGACCCTGCATGCTGCTGGCACTGAGGGGGAACCAGACCATGGTGGAGGTAAGGTCCTGCTGTGCCCCCACACCCTCCTGCTGCTCAGCAGACACCACTCTGCTTGCCAGGCACCTCCAGGAGCCAGGAGGAATGGCAGGAGCTGGGCATGGAGATAAGAGGCGGATGTAGGCCTGGCCCTGCATGTAGCAAATGGGAATCTGGGGTGGAGGGCCTGCCCAATGTCGCACAGCCAGAAATGCAGGGAGGAGAGAGCGGGATCGCTGAGTTCAAAATGAGACCCTTGGATGTGCTCAGAATGGGTTTAGCTGTGGAATCCCTTTCTGGGGCTTGTGGAGGCTGTGAGGGCTCCACCGTCCATGCCTGCAGGGAGGACAATGGCCCATAGTTACAGGCCTCTAACACGTCTCTGGTCCTGGAGCAGATCCTGTGCCTGATGCTGGAATACAATATCATTGACAACAATGACACCCAACTGCAGATCATCTCGACCCTGGAGAGCACAGATGTGGGCAAGCGCATGTACGAGCAGCTGTGTGACCGTCAGCGGGAGCTGAAGGAGCTGGTGAGTGCCGGCTGGCCAGCCTGACCCCCAGGGCTCCCACACCACCAGGGCTGGGGCGAATAGAGCCCAGGGTCTGTTACCTCCACCTCTGTGAACTTCAGTCTCATTGAATTCTCTTCCTGAAGCAAGGAGGTCAGGATTACCACCAGGGGTTCTCCAGAGGATCAAAGAGAGGCACAGAGAGGGAGAGTAACTTGTCCCGAGTCACACAGCTCCTCAGGGCTTGGTCAAGACTAGACTTCCTCTCTCAGTGTCATGTACAGCAGTCCTTGTCAGCAGCTCTCCTCTCGTGCCCCTGAGGTCCTTCCATCTTGGGGAGGGTCTCATTGCCAACCATCAGCCTCATGACTGTCCACATACACACACATGCATGCACACGTGCATAGCAGGGCAGGTGTGGTGAGAATCCACACCCCTGGACTCCTGGAGCAGCCCTCCCCTGGTGACTAGTTTATAAATACCCTAGCTCCTTCTCCCCTTGGTGACATGGCTCTAAGACACAGCTTCTCCACCATTCCCCAGGGTCCCCCATTGGGGTGCAGTTCCTGAGCCCCAGTGAGGGCCGGCTTGACAAGGCCCCTCTGTGGCTGTTCTCCTTCCCTGTGTCACCTCCCTCCTTCCCTACGTGTCCTTCTTAGGGGTACCTCTCTAGTCAGCCACCTGCACTCAAACTTTGTCACAGGGTCTGCCTAAAGATGGCCCCTTCAGCGGCGTTCATAGCTGAGCAGGGTGGAATCTCAGGAAAGAATGGGTCCTGACCAGTGTGCTTTCTGTTGCAGCAAAGGAAAGGTGGGCCCACCAGGCTGACACTGCCCTCCAAGTCCACAGTGAGTTGGGCTGGTTCTCTCTGGGGGCTGGGAGGAGGGGTTGCACTCCCTGCTGGGGAGTACAGAGTAGGGTCTGGGGCTGCGAAGGGGAAGGGGATAAGACCATATGGTGCCTTCAGGCCAGCTTCTCCAGGAGGGAACCAAACAAGGGAAAACCAAAGATACTGTTGGTAGCGATACGTCATCCAAAACTAGAAAAAACAAACTCACTGCCATTGAGTCAGCTGTGACTCATAGTGACTCCTCTGTGGGTTTCGGAGGCATTATCACTACGGAAGTAGATTGCCCAGTCTTCCTTCCAAGGAGTAGCTGGGTGGGTTTGAACCACCAGCCTTCTAGTTAGCAGTCAAATGCCTTAGGCACTACGCCACCAGAGCTCCCACTGCGTCGTCAGTTGTTGTTAATAATGCTCATGAGACCTGACGTACATTGAGCGTTTTCTTACCTACCGGCTACTGTACTTAGCTCGTTTTACCCTCGTGACAACCCTGTGCGGTTGGTCTATCTTACCACCCCATTTTGGAAGGTCTTCAGGGATCTTAGTTCCTTCAAGCATCCTACTGTCCTCCCCTCTGATCTTGGCACATGGCTTCCACCTCATGATCCAAGAAGGCTGCTCAGGCTCCAGCCATTTTGTCTCCATCCTGGCCAGAAAGGAGGAGAGAAAGACAGAGAAGGACATATCTCCTCCCTTTACTGACCTTCCTAGAAATTCCACTAGGCACACGGACTTACATCCTGTTGTCTAGACTTGGCACATGGCTGCCCTTTGCTGGAAGGGAGACTGGGAAGTTTGTCTTAAGGCAGCCAGGAGGCAGCGGGCAATCAGACTGCATTGCTGAGATGGAAGTAGGGGAGGGTGGCTGTGATCCTCCAGGGCCTCATGGTCTAGTTCTGCCTGCGCGGCTCTCCACAGGCCTCACACTGGGGGGTGGTCTCAGGGTTTATATGTGGGAGGTGGGTACGAGCTGCTGCCTGAGAGAGTAAGCTGCCAGCGAGACACATGTACATGTGCATACACGCACATGCACATGCTTGTGTGCACAGAGACGCACACATGCACGTCTACATGTATGTACATGTTCACTCCCATGCACACATGTCCACAGTCACACGCACACACACCGGTGGGGGGACACGGCCTCAGAAGACCCCAGGTGGCGACTCCCAGTTGAGTCACGATGCTGAAGGCTTTCTCCACCCTGGGTCACTGAGGAGCCTCTCTCCTTGGTGCCCCCTTGGCCCAGCCTTGCCTCTGCTCTTGGGGCTTTGCTGCCCCGTTGATGGCACTCTGTAGGGCAGGGCAAGTACCCGTTTCTTTCCCAACTGCCCCTGAGACCCACCTGCCCATCTGTGTGCAGGACGCTGACTTGGCTCGTCTGCTGAGCTCTGGCTCCTTTGGAAACCTGGAGAACCTCAGTTTGGCCTTCACCAATGTAACCAGTGCCTGTGCTGAGCACCTCATCAAACTGCCTTCTCTCAAGCAGCTGAACCTGTGGTCCACTCAGGTACACACGCCCGCAGCCTCCCCTGGCTCTGACTGTAACCCTCCTCGCTGCACCCCTCCTCCTCCATGCCCGCCCTGCACTCTCGCCTCACGCAGCCATCCCTCACCCTCCTCCGAGTCTTCTCCTCTCTTCTGTGTCTTCTGTTCACTCTCCTCCATGTCTGCCTTCTGTCTGGCCCTTCTGCCCGGAGCCCATGGACAACCCCTTGATTATCACACTCCCTCCCAACTCAGCACCCATGTCCCCAGGCCAGAGCAGGCTAGGACAGCATGAAGCCTCATGGCCTGTTCCCCGTGGGACATACCGAGCCCGGGTAGGAGAAAGCCCGGTGTCACAGAATCCAGGGGGATTAGAGCAGAGCTGAGGTCTGTGCTGGGCAGGGCAGAGGCCCTGTGTGGCCTGCTCAGTGGGAGTGACAGCACATGGCACAAGCAGGGCTGTCAGGTTTGGGCCCAGCATTCAGGAGCTGATAGGCATGTTGAATGATGCGCTCATGTGAGGCTCACTCCCAGCCGGGGAGGTCCGGGCCCTGCCCTTGGCCTCGCCTTGCGCATGTGAAACGGGCGTGTGGCCTCGAGGTTGCCGGGGAAGGGGTCACAGCCTGACTCCAGCCATGCCACTGCCCCGCCAGGTGGGAAGAGACCCTGAGGCCTAGGATTCATCCAGTTAGAGCCATTCTGGGCCTCCTGGCCCAGCCCATGTCCCATAGCAGAGCTGCTTCGGAACCAGCTTGAGAGGCTCTGGGTCCTCTGGGAGAGATGCCTCCTCTGCCTCTCCCCTACTCACCCTGGGGGCAGCCTGGGGAAACCGAGGCCAGTCCCAGGGGCTTAGCTGTTCTGTGCCCCCAGTTTGGAGACGCCGGCCTGCGGCTCCTGTCGGAACACCTCACCATGCTCCAGGTGCTGAACCTGTGCGAGACGCCCGTCACCGACGCCGGCCTGCTGGCCCTCAGCTGTGAGTATCCCGCAGGGCGGGGCCACGTCACTTGTGCTCCCTCACTCCCTCACTCAGCACATGTTAGCTGAGCACTTGCTCTGTGCCAGGTGCCGAGATACAGAGGCTAATTCATTGGGCCAGTGTGTATGGAGTACCCACTCCATGCCAGGCTGTATTCCAAAGTCTGGGAACACAAAAAGATAAGTCCCTTCCCTTGGTGGTGGTGATATTCTGAGGACAAAGCAAAACTGAGTGGGGCCCAGCCCACTCCCTTCTGGCATTCACAGCTGGTCCAGTGAGGTTCCAGGAGAGTGCTGTAGGACGTGCCACTGTGGGCCCCCAAGCGGCAGCTTCCCCTAAGAGCTGGTTAGCAGTGCAGGCTCTTGGGCTTCACCCAGACCTGCTCAGTCAGAGAATGTGTTTCAACGAGAGGCCTGGGAGATAGGTGTTCACGGTGACGTTTGAGAAGCACTGTCCTAACAGGACTTAAACTGGAATTGCTGACTTCTGCACCCTCTTGTGTTGAACTGAACTCTTACGGGCTGTGAGCCTGGGCATCTGCATCTCACCAGCTCTCCCCGTCTCAGATGCCCACTGGTTTTGAGGAGTTGGCTGCCTCGGCTGGGAGGAGCACAGAATCGCTTCCTGGGGAAGGATACTTGATCTGGGGGTGAAAGATGCGCACAGAGGAGAGGCTGGGGGAGGGCGCTCTGGGAGACAGCATAGCTCCTGCTTGCTCCTTGGAAGTTGCCGGACAGCTCAGGGCTGGGGCGGGGGAGCATAGCTGGGTTTGTGGAGGGCAGAGAGGACAAGTCTTGGAGCCGCTTCTGTTCAGTGTGCTCCTTGGACCGCTGTCATCAGAGTCACAGGGAGCAGGCGGGGGAGGGGTGGGGAGGTGGCCATCCAGGTTCCTGGGCCTGCTCCCTGCACCCTCCTCAGCATCTCCAAGAGTGGGGCACCGGGATCAGCGTCTTCCCCACGCTTCTCATGTTGTTGCACGTGACCTGGGGTTTGAGGCATCCTGCCTGACTTTGGGAAGCCTGCCCGAGGTAGTCGCTGTGCTGAAGGCTTCCAGGGGAAAGGCCGGGCCTGGCCCATCAGGGCTGGTGTGTAGGTGGCAGGGAGCTCAGAGTTCAGGGGAGTCAGGTCCAGGCTGTGGAGGCGCAGAGAGCATAGGCCTGATGCAGCCCCGTCTGTCTGAGCAGACTTTGTATGGAGAACCCTGCCTGTGCCCATCCCCTAAGCGGGCTTACAGTCTGCGGTCAGTCCCCAGCTTGGCCACCTGATACTTGCACACCCGGCAGAGTCTCCCTGAGCTAATGACGGTGTCTGTCTGTATATCTGTCCTCCCACAGCTATGAAGAGTCTGTGCAGCCTAAACATGAACAGCACCAAGCTCTCGGCCGACACCTATGAAGATCTGAAGGTAAGGCCTCCCTCCCTGCCTGTCTCCCTGCACTTGGCTGGCTTGAGATACTGGCACTTCGTTCTTGGACCTTCCTACCCAGTAAGAGAGGCTTCCACACCAGCAGATCACTGAAGAAAATGGGCAGTTTGACAGGCGTTACAGGGAGGAAGCCAGCAGGAATTGATGATTGAAAGTAGGAAGGGCCTGTGTGACAAGGATAACCGGGAAGACCTCAAACACTGAGACCTACAGGAGGAGAGCAAGGGCAGAGGACCTGGGTGGCCCGTCAGCCGCTGTGGCTGATGGGAGTAGGCAGATCCAGGAAGGCCAGGGAGGGCTCAAAAGGGCTTTGGTGTCATTGACCTGCACAGAGCTTGTCGAGGCTACTTGCAGGTTGGGGAAATGCTTGTCAAACCTCCTTCTGCCTGTTGGCTAGGAAATAGGGGTGGTAGAGTCGAAGCCAGAAGAGCCTGAATGGGGCTGCCGCAGTATCCAGTTCAGGGCCTGGGCTGGGTTGGCATAGTAAAGCTGAGGGACCACCAGAGGCTCTGATGGGTGGGAGGCAGGCACCTCCTGAGGAAGATGAAGGTCCAGGCCTTGAGCACCTCCTGCCACGTCATCCTGAACTGGTACCTGCTGCCCCAAGGAGTAGGGAGGAGGGAGACTTGCCGCCACTGCATTGGAAGGTGGGCTGGACCAAAAGCGAGAGGCCCAGGTGGTGCATGAGCAGCCTAGAACCTATGTCACCTGTAAGTGCTTGGAGGGGATCCCCAGCAGCCCTGGCTGAGCCCCATGCCCAGCAGGGACGGGACAGCCCCGTCCAGCCTCACCTCCAGCTCAGCCAACCTTCAGGGCCTGTCAGAAATATAGATGCTCTCCAAGGGCCAACTGTGTGCCAGGCCTGAGGCAGGGCCAGGGACACCATCCCTGCCCGGGGCAAGACTCAGAGTCCTGGCACCACAGATAAGCGAGGTAAGCCAAGGCAAGCAGAGGACTCAGTTCGCTGGGGTTGGAAGGTCAGAAGACAGGAGTCCAGAGGCTCCCAGGGAGTGTGCTGCCAGGGGCAGGGTTGGGAGATGGGAAGGACACAGTCACTGCAGGCCAGACCACCCGCCTGAGAAGTGTAGACCTCACCACTCAAGTGTGGCCCACAGACTGGCACTGTGGGATCCCCCAGGGTCCCCAGGCCTCCTGATCCAGACATGTGTTGTCAGACGCCCCCTGGACAAGCTTGGTGAAGAACTCACTGCCTTCTGTGGTCTTCCAGTTCAGGCCATCACAAAGCCAGATGCTGCTGAGGCCTGGCAGGAAATGGCTGTAATCGGTCTCACAGGAAGAAAAACTGTTGTCATCGAGTTTTTTCTTTATGTACATCAGAGAGGGATGTGGTGCCAACTTGAAGACTGCTGGCTGGTAATGCTGGCCTTGGTGTGAAGGGCCTGCGGGGGCGGGCAGGCAGGGGCAGCCTAGTTGGGCCAGGTCTTCCCTTTTCCCATGAGAACCTGAAAATCTAGATGGATCTGTACAAATGGGTGGGCGTGAGTGTGTGTGTATATATTTTTTTTTTTTTTTTTTGAGTTTTTGGTGCAAACTTGCACAGCAGGTTAATTCCCATTTGACAGTTTTCACACAAGTTGTTCATTTGTTAGAAGCATCACAATGTGTCACCATTGTCTCTGTGTTCAGTCTGTTTCCTTTCTGGTTCTCTAGTTGCCCTCGCCCTTGTCTTATCTTTGCTTTTGACTAACTGTTGGCCTTCTGTTCTCGCACTGATGTTTTTTAAGTCCAGGTCCTGCCCTTTGTTTGGTACTCCACTCTGCTGTCCCTCTGAAAGATGATCTTGGGAGGTGGGCTCTGTTCTGGGTTTGAAGAGAGTCTCAGGGACCTCTCTCTTCTCTCCTGCCCAGTTTGTCTGGCCTTTTCCCTTTAATAAGGTTTTGAGTTGTGCTCCACATTGCTCTCCCATTCTGTCAGGGACCAGCTGTCATGACCCTGGTCAGAGCAGTCAGCGGTGATAGGCGGGTACCATCTAGTTCTTCTGGCTTCAGTGTAGATGAGGGCGTGGCTCATGTAGACTTGTTTCCTCTCTGAGTTTTGGTTTCTTTCTTACTGTGTTGCTCCTGGCAAGTAGAGACCCAAAGGTGGGTCTTAGCGGGCCGCTTACAAGCTGAGAAGACCCCAGAAGTTACTTACTTACCAGGATGCAGGTCACGATTTTGTGAACTATGGTTGCCAGTTGACTGAGTTGTTCCATGAGACTATAACCACTCCTCGGAAGGAAGATGGGGCAATCTACTTCCATAGTGATACTGCCTCAGAAACCCAAGGAGGGGTCGCTATGAGTCAGGTCCGACTTGATGGCACATAACAACAACAACGACAACATGCCTAAGCTTTCAAACTCAGAAAACCAATCTTGGAAGGTGTTTGGTTATGTCCAGGGAGTGTCTGTATTTGTGTCTTCAGTGAAGGTATGTGCCACCCACATATTGTTTTCACATAGACCTATAGATACTTCTGTCTGTGCTCACCTGTGTACACAGCAACACGTGCACCAACACGCCTATACCCATCCCTGTGTAAAAACCCAAACACTTGTTTTTACTTACGTTGTGCTGTGCTCCCTACATCCATATTCAGTGCCACTTTTCCCATCCCCCAAAGTAACAACGCTCCACAATCCAAAGTGTACTTCCCTTCCCCCTCCCTCCCTGGTTACCAATGAACACTGGTCTCTCTCTGTGTATCTCTTCTTGTCTTCCTATAAAAGATGGATTACACAGTATCTGTCCTTACATGCTGTACTTATTTCACTTACCATTACACCCTCCAGGTCCGTCCCTGTTAAAATGTTTTGCAGACTCATCATTGATTTTTGGGGGTACATAGTATTCCATTGTATGTATGTACCACAGTTTGCTTATCCACTCATCCTTTGATGGACACTTTGGTTGTTTCCATTTATTTGCCGTTGTCAGTAAAGCAGCAACAAACATGGGTGTGCGTATGTCCATTCATGTCATTAGTTTTGGGTGTCTCGAGTCTATACCAGGAGCTGTATAACTGTTGTTATACCAGTGGGCAGAACATTCAGCTGCTAATCACAAGGTTGGTAGTTTGAACCCACCAGCCACTCTGTGGGAGAAACATGAGGTATCCATAAAGATTTACATCCTTGGAAACCCCACGGGGCAGTTCTACTCTGTCCTGTAGGGTCACTGTGAGTTAGAATCAGTTCGATGGCAGTGGGTTTGGTTGTGTGTGTATGTGTGTGTAGTTTGTATTAACTGGGAGTGAGACAGTATCTCATAGTTTTGATTGCTGTCTCTCTAATGGCTAATGATTGTGAACATCTTTTCCTATGTTTCTTCGCTGCTTGGATGTCCTCTGGTGAAATTACTGTTCGTGTCCTTTGCTCACTTTGTGATTGGGTTGTTTGTGTTTTTGTTGCTGCGGTTTTCCATAGAGTTGAGAGATTAGATCCTTATTAGGTAAATCATTTCTGAAGGTGTTTTCCCTGTCTGTGGGTTGTCTTTTTAATCTTTAGTAGGGTCTTTCAATGACCATAGCTTTTTGATTTTTATGAGGTCCCGTTTATCGGTTTTGTCTTCTATCTGTGCATATGTAGTTGTTTGTTACCGTGTTTTTACAAAAGATTACATCCCATAGTTCTCTCCTTGTGTTTCCTTCTAGGAATTTTGTCCTTAAGTTTAACATTTAGGTCTTTGATCCATTATGAGTTACTTTTCGTGTAGAGTGTGAACTATGGGTCCTGTTCCATTTTTCCACAGGTGGATATCCCATTTTGCCAGCACCATTTACTACAGAGACTGTTTCTGCCCCATTAAATGGACTTGAAAATCAGCCGTCCGTGTATGGCTGCATCTAATTCTTGAGTTCTCGGTCCTGGTCCACCGGTCTGTCGGTGAACTAGTACCACGCTGATTTGGTTACGTGGTTGTGTAGTGTGTTTTGATGTTGGACAATGTGAGACCTCCTGCTTTGTTCTTTTTCTTCAATATTGCTTTAGCTCTTTGGGGTTTCTTTCCTTTCCGTGTGAAGCTGGTTAGTAGTTGTTCCATTTCACTAAAGAACGTTGCCGGGAGTGGTACTGGATTGCATTGCAGCTGTAGATCACTTGAGGTGGAACTGATGTTTTCACTGCATTGAGTCTTCAGTCCATCAGCATGTTTTGCTGTCTTTGACTTTTGTTAGGCCTCTTTTAGTCTCTTGTAGTATTTTATAATGCTCACTGTATAAGACTATTATATCCCTGATTAACTTCTAGGTATTGTATTTACAATTGTAGTATAAATTATATAAATGGTATTGTTCTTTATTTCGTTTTTGGAGTTGTTTTTGTTAGTGTAGAGGAGCCCAACTGGTTTTTGTGTATTGATATCGTACCATGCAATATTACTAAAGCCTTCTGTTAGTTCCAGCAGTGGTATTTTTAGGGTCATCTATGTATAAGATCATGTCATGCAAATAGAGATAGTTTTACTTTCTCCTTTACGACTTGGATATCTTTTGTTTGTCTTTCTTGTTGCAGTGCTCTGGCTAGGGCTTCAGTACAGTGTTGAATGAGAGTGGTGGTAAGGAACATCCTTGTCTCATTCCTGTTCTCAGCGGGAAGGCTCTCCGCTTTTTTCCTTTGACTGTAATGTTGGCTGTTGGTTTTTAGTATGCCTTTAAGTATGTTAAGAAATTTCTCTTCTATTCCTATTTTGCTGAGAGTTTTTATTAGGAAAGAGTGTTGAGTTTTATCGAACCCCTTTATTGCATCCATTTACATGATCTTATGGCTCTTTTTATTTGTTTTATTGATGTGGCGGATTATGTGGATTAATTTTCTGATGTTGAACTACCCTTGTAATCCTGGTAGGAATCCCACCTCCTCATGTTGTTGTTGTTGTTTGATACGTTGCTTAAGTCTGTTGGGTAAAACTTTGTTGAAATTTTTTACATCTATGTTCATAAGGGATATTGGTCAGTAATTTTCTTTTTTTTTTGTGATGTCTTTGCCTGGGTTAGGTATCAGGGTATGCTGGCTTTTTAGAAGGAGTTTGGTAGTATTCCTTCCTCTTCTATTTTTTTTTAAAGAGATTGAGTAGGATTGGTGTCAACCCTTCTCTGAATGTTTCATAGAGTTCTCCAATGAAGGCGTCTGGTCGTGGTCTTTTTTTTGTTGGCAGTTGGTTTTTTCTTTTTAATGACATCGTCAGTCTCTTCTACCATGATCGTCTGTTTAAATTTTCTGTCTGTGTTAGTTTGGGTAGATAGTGTGTGTCTAGGAATTTATCCATTTTGTCTAGGATTTCAAATTAGTTGTAGTACAGTTTTCAGTAGTAATTAGTATAATGTTGTTTATCTCTGTTGGATCGGTTATAATCTCACCAGTTTCCTTTTCTGTTTTTTTTGTTTTTGTTTTGTCAATTCAGCCAATAGTCTGTTTCATTGATCCTTTCAAAGAGCTGACTTCTAGTTTTGTTGATTCTTTGTAATGTGTTTTTCTGTTTTCTATTTCATTTTTGTCTGCTCTGATTCATTATTTCCTCTTTTCTGGTAGCTTTCAACTTCTTTTGCTCTTTTCTGTTTGTTCAAGTTGTCAGTCTAAGTTAGTGATTTTTGGAACTTCTTTTTTAATGTAGGCATGTATTGGTGTGAATTTTCCTCTGACTACTGCTTTTGCTGTGTTCTAAAGGTTTTGATATGTTGTGTTTTCATTTTCGTTTGATTCTGGGACTTTTTTAAATTTCACTTTTGATTACTTCTATGACTTAATAGTTTTTAGTAGCATATTATTTAGTCTCCATGTAGTTATTTATTTTTTCCCATTTTTGATTTCTTGTTTCGTACTGTTATGTTCACCATTATGGTCAGAGAAGATGCTTTGTACGCGTTTAGTCTTTTTACATGTGTTGAGGCTTGTTTTGTATCCTAGCATGTGGTCGGTTCTGGAAAATGGTCATTCTGTTGGAGAAAGCACTTGTATTGTTCCGATGTGGGGCATTCTGTGTATGTCCATTGGGGCCAGCTGGCTTCTGATTTTATTAAAGTTCTCAGTGTGTTTAGTGATCTCCTTTTTGGATGTTGTGTTTACAGTTGAAAGTGGTGTGTCGATGTCCCCCACTGTTATTGTAGAATTGTCTATTTCTCCTTTCAGTATTTGTTTGTGTGTTTTGGTGCAATGCTATTGGGAGCATACCTATTTCTAATTGTTTTATCTTCTTGCTAGATTGACCATTTTGTTATTATGTAATATCCTTCTTTGTCTCTTGTAATAGGTTTTCGTTTAAAGTCAGTTTAACCTGATATCAGTATGGCCTCCCCTGCTCTTTTTTGTTTACTAGTTCGTGGAATTATTTTTTCTCTGTCCTTTTGCTTTCCATCTGTTTGTGTCCTTAGGTCTCAGGTGTTCCTTGTAAATAGCGAAAGGCTGGATCATGGTTTTTATCCATTCTTCCACTCTCCACCTTTTGCATTTGGTATGTAGACCATTTGCATTTAAGGTTATTGCTGAAAATTAAGTGTCTACATCACTCATTTTGCTTTTTATCTTTTGGGTGTTTCATATCTTCTTTTTTTTTCCCCCTTGATATTTCTATGTTTGTTGGTCTTTGGCTTCTTTCTTGGGATGTGGCTCACATATTTTTTTATTTTTGCGGCCAACCATGACTGCAGGTCTCAGCTTATAAACTGTGCCTGGGCACTGGGCAGCTGCTGAGGGCCATTACACACAGGAGATAAGCAGTGAGGGACTGTGTGTGTGTCTACATGTGTACACATGTGCATGTGTGAGCATGAGTGTGCATGTGAACGTGTGTGTGTGTGTGCGTCTTGAAAAGTCCTCTGTGACCAGGGGACCGGGAGGTTAGGAAGGGAGGGGGTGAGAGGCGGGAGCTCACTGAGGGCAGCCACTTGCTCTGTCCTGTGAGGCTTCTTAAGAAAAGCAGGCTATTCAGAGGGGTGAAGAACAGAGGAAGAGCATCCAAGATGGCGGCCGGCATGGAGCGCAGGAGACGTCTCTGAGAAATAGTAGGTGGGAAGGTGTAGTCTTGCGATGGGTCCGTTGTGAGGACCCTGAGTGGGAGGACTCAAAGTGGATTCTCCAGAGGAAGAAACTGAGGCCCCGAGAGCTGGGCCTGTCACCGTGGGGTCACACAGCCAGCATGTTGCAGAGCTAGGGCTCAAACCCTGGTGTCTCCACGTACAAAGCCAGTGATGGGAGCCTATCTGATGTGCAGGGTGCAGGGCCTGAGGTCTCAGCCGTGGCACCCGGTGTCTCGGCCTGGCCCACGCTGCTAGCTCAGCTCTTTCCAAAGGCCACCTGGCTCCCTGAGAGCCTTTGGGGGCCACAGCAGGCGGCGTCCAAGTGGGGAGAGGCACGGGAGGCAGTAGCCAGCAGTTCCAGAGGGACGTGGCCCGGCTCTGACGTACATGCCTTCTGTCGCACCCCAGGCCAAGCTGCCCAACCTGAAGGAGGTGGATGTCCGCTACACGGAGGCCTGGTGAACCCCGGCTGCACAGGAGGAGTCTGCAAGTGCAACAAAACAACTTGACTAATAGCTGTAGACCAGCCGCCCCTGGGGTCCCACCTCAGCGTCCCGGCTGAGAGCTAGATGGGGGAGTCTTTCTGGGGGCGGAGGGCAGAGGGAGGAGGGTGGGAGGGGCTCCAGAAGCACGCCCGGCCCCCACCTAAATCTTTTAGCTTCATAATTTGAAACCGTGACCTGCTCTAAAGTGGACTTTGTAGCAACGAGAGGAGTATCAGCGGGGAGGGGGAGGGGAGGGTGGGGGGCCGGGTGGGGGAGACCCTTTGTGGATTTTCTTTGCCTTTGTGTTTAATGCCGTGTGGGAAAAGTCACCTCCGATGCCACCTCACCGCGGTCCTGACCGGTTCGGAGGCCAGACCAAGGATGCTTCTTTCCCGGCTCTCAGAGCCGAGGACCCGCCCCGCCACTGGGACAGGCAGACCTGGTCATGTCATTGCACCCGTCCTGTGTCCTTGCCATTGCTATGCAAAGTGATCTCTGTTGTACATAAGATTTAAATACTGCACCTATTTAAGAAATGTTGACCAATTGCGGGTCTGGGACCTGCCTCTTATTTATGACGTCTCTGGCCCTCCCTCCCTCCTGCACCTTTGGCGCGTGGTACTGTACAAACCAGTCAGCTGTTGGGTTAGTGGTAGTATTTTTGTTATTTTTTTAAAGGACGCAAACAGAGAAAAAAAAAAAAAAAAAACCTCCTTGGAAAATTGCTTCTTCGTAATGGATTCTGTATGCCTATGTTCTCTCAGGCTGTCCGTCCGTCTGCCCTCCGCCCACCCCGTGCCTGTCTGAGTCCCAGGTGTCTCTGACTTCCTCACAGCATGGGGGTCAGGCTGGGGGAGGAGGAAGGAGTGGGGTCCCCATAGCCTAGTGTTGCTCCTGGAAGACCCAGGCACTCTCTCTGGCCCCCATTTACAGATTGAGGGGGTGCTAATCTGTCCTTCCCGGTCCATCCTGTAGAACTGTCCTCACCCCCACCCTGGGAGACGCGCATCTCCCCCGGCCTCTGCTGTCCCGTGGCCCTCGCCCTTGTGTATGTGGCGTGGTCCTGCCCTCACGCATGCCGCCTCTTGCATGGTCGCTTGGGAGAAGAGAGATACTCGGCTCCACCAGCCTGACCGTCCCCCCTGCCCCACCACCCCACCTCAAATGTGACCACTGCAACGTAGCCGCCTCTGTCCCCACCCCAGCTCCAACGACAAACCAACCTGTTTCTTTTATAAACTGTAGGCTTTTCTTAACAAGCCCGCCCTGTACAGAGCAGCCCCTTTACCGTTGATTTGGGGTCCCCCTCCCCCAGGCCCCTTTTTCTGTTGGTGTAGCACAAATACTGCCCCCTGTGGCACCTCCAGCCTAACCCACAGCCAGTGTATTGTTTTATATATATTTAATCCCATTCGATGGAAGCCATGCTTTGGTCATTTTATACTTTGCCAGGTAGACTTTATTACCACCCGACTAGACCCTCATTTTTTTAAAAAAGGAAAAACAACAGATGACAACATTGGATTTCAGTCTTAATCCATCTCTCCGTGCCAGGTTTTACTTTGTGTGTGTGTGTGTGTGTGTGTGTGTTTTGTTTTGTCAGTTTATTTTGTTGTCGTTTTCTGTTGTTTGGTTTGGTTTCCACCTCCCTCCAGTCCCATACTTTACAGCACTCTGGTGCAGGAAGATGCAGAAGCAAAAAAAAAAAAAAAAAGAAAAGAAAAAACAACAAAAAAAGAAGAAACAAGACATGCCACCTTTCCCTTCGCACTGTTGCTTTTCCGGTTGGTTAATACTACTGTCACGTAGCTGTGTACAAAGAGATGTGAAATACTTTCAGGCAAAAATAAACTGTAAGTGACTCATGGCTGCCCGGCCTTTCTCTGGGGCTTCGCTGGGACCGGGGGCGGGCGGAGGGCAGGGCCAGGGCCAGGGCCGGGACTCAGACACCCCCTTTCCCCATCCCCTTTCCTTTTTCACACTTCACTGAGGTGAAATTCACCTCATATAAATTGAAGCACTTTAGAGGGGACATTCAGAGTACTGTCTGGCCCCACCTCTACCTCAACCCGCAACATTTTCATCACCCCAAAGGAGACCTGTACCCACTGAGCCATTTGTCCCCGTCTCCTTGCCCCCAGCCCCTGGCGTTCAGCGGTCTGCTTTCTGTCTCGGTGGACTTACTCTTCTGGGCATTTCATGTAAATGGAGTCGTCCATGATTTCTCCTTTTATTCAGCTTTGGCTTTAGCATGTTTCTGAATTCGTCCAAGTAGTTGCGTGGAGCAGGACTTTGTTCCTTTGTGGCTGAGTGGTTTTTTTTTTCTCCTTTTATGTGGCTTTAACTAATTTATTCTCTTGCAGCCGAGGAGGCTAGAAGTCCAAATTCAGAGCACTGGTTCTCAGGCAAGGCTTCTCTGTCGGCTCTGGGGGAAAGTCCTTGTCTATCCTCTGGCTTCTGCTTCCTGGTTGCCCAGAGATCTCCACGTGGCTTGGCATCTGTCTCACCCCATGTCTGTTCTGCTCACAAGTTTAATCTCTTTTATATCTTGGAAGAAACTGCTGAGTGCTGTTTTAACCCCTGTCTGGTGCGTACATAGCCCCTGTGAAGAGCGGTCTCTCAGCCTTGGCACTGTGAGCACTGTGTGTCGGGTAACTGTTGGTTGTGGCAGGCTGTCTTCCCCCACACACACAGTGCTGACAACCAAAAATGTCTCCAGATGTTGCCAGCTGTCCCTGATGGGCGCCGTCACCCTCGGCAAGAACCTTCACTACAGAACAAGGCCACTCCTGCGGTCCAGGGGCTCTGAGGAAGCTCTAGCCCTCAGCTGTTAGTTCCCAGGGTCTCAGCCTCCCTCCTGAGCCGCTGGCTGTAACCTTGCTCACCCCTCTGCCGCTAGTCCCTTCTTTATCATCTTTCTCCAGAATCAAACCTGAGTGGCCTCATGGTCCACACCCTGCCTGTTATACCCCCACAAGCAAACCCAGAGCTGCGGGAGCTGACCAGAAGGGGCCATGAGAGCCCAGACTCAGCCATAGGCACCTCCCAGAAGGGCCTGGGAGAGCTCTGCAGCAGGGGTTCAAGATCAGCTTGCACTGCTTTGGGGGTGTGGGGGTGGTTACTGACAAAAGGACTCGTGGCAGTGGGCACATCAGTGGTTCAGCCACTTAGGAAAGGGGCAGTCTCGCTGCCACTCATGCCTCCCTCTGACCTCTTGACTCCCCACCTGGGGATATGCTCAAGAGAACAGAGTACATGTGTCCCCCGAAAGATACAAACAAGAAAGTTTAGAGCAGTCTTATTTGTAATAGCCACAAAGTGGCAACAAACCAAATGTCTGCTAACAGGAGAATGAGTAAACACATTAGAGGGGTAGTCACAGAGCAGAACACAAATGTCTGCATCTGTGGGAGAATGAGGAAACAAACTGTGGCGTATTCAGATGACGGATTTCTACAGTGCAAGGGAGAGAGGAACAAGTTAGTGGTCCACGCAGTGATGGGATTGGCTGGATAGGGTTAGGTTGTGTGAAAAGATCCAGATACAAATGACTGTTTGCAGGATGGTCCCATTCGTGTGAAGTTCACAAGTGGGCAGACGTAATCTGTGACGATAGTGGTCCCGGTAGTCATTACCTCACCAAGTGAGTCTTGGTGTTTGGCTGGGAAGGGGCAGGATGGAGACTTCGGGGTGACGGAAACGCTCGTCATCCTGATTTGTGGTTGCCCGGATGCTTACAAGTGTAAAATCACACGGACCTGCGTGCTGAAGATTTGTGGAATGTACTGTATGTATAACACATATTTTCAAAATGGCATCATAAGTCATTGTTTTCAGTGAGATGGCTTCTGCTTCTCTCCGCCAGCCAGCCTGTCGGGTCTGCCACCGTTTCTGTCACAGCCACTGCTTGCTCATATTTATGGAGCCCTGTGGTGATTGGGGGGGCGGGGGAGCGGGGTATCCTTTCCTCAAAACGCTCTACTGCCATCTGCTGCAAAGTCGTCATCAGTGCATGTACGTATGAAAGGACTCCTTCACAGGGACACCCTTGTGCAGTGCACAACCTGCACATCTGGATATGGTGAACTCCATGACATCACTTTATTCTTCAGTGTTCCCTGTCTGGATCTGAGTGGGGCCCTCAACTGTCCACTCTTAAAGTCTTTGTTTTTGTTTGGTACAAGTCTTCACAATCCAGTGCGTATTTCACATTTACAGTGAAGCTCAGCTTATACCAGCCACGTCCCACGTGCTCAGTACCAGCCATCCGTGGCCCGTGGCTGCTGCATGGACAGCCTGGCTCTAGAATTCTATGAACAGGAGCTAACGCTGAGCAGAACAGCAGGGCGTGCGGAGCAGCCGGGGGCCAGGGCTTGAAGAAGGAGTGTGCACCTGCTACAGAACTGGTTTTCCTTTGGTGGCAAGATTCCTAGGGCTGATGGGGAGACCAGGGTGGCACAGCCCCCACCCCCGCAGCGTCTCAGGAGCGGCACGCAGAAAACCCCTTAGGGCAGCCCGCAGGGAGCTCCCAGCCGGGCTGTGGTTCCCGACAGGGCTCGCTCCAGCAGCCAGGTGTTCAGAGGTCTCGGCCCAAGTTCTGCTTGAAAAGGAGCATCTTTTTTTCACAACGAATGATTTTTCTTTTTAAAGGAAGATTACGTCCATGGACAGGAGGAGGACTTGTAGATCATCAGGCATTTTTGTGCAATGCATGAAAGAAGCGCTTAGAGAAAAGAGGGCGCGTTGCTGATGGAGGAGAGACGAGGGGAGCGGGGGTCAAAGTTCAGAGACCTGACTTCCGTCTAAAATAATGGCTGGGCAGGGAGGCCGAGGAGCACAGGCAAAGCCGTGGGCCTCATTAGACGTGGGCCTCTGGTTACTGGACCCAGTGGGTATCCTCCCCGCCGCCGGGCGTTTCCCTAGTCTGTCATTCATGGTATCACCCATTCATTCACTTGCTAACACAAATATCCCGAGTCCCACAGCGTGCCAGGCACACTGGAGACGCAGGAGTGCACAGTCCGGGGAGCCCCCGGAGGCAGTAATCACACAGCACAGCCCCTCACTACAGCTGCAGAGAGTTGGAGGAAGCGCGCGGGGTCTGAGGTCAGAGTAACCTGGAGGAGGCGTGGGGGTTACTCAGGCCTGGAGGGCACGGCCTGCCAGGCCGAGGGAAGGGCGTGTGTGGAGACCTTGAGGCAGCGCGCTGGCACCGCGGAGAAGCGGACTTCCAGAAGGTGGGTGGGGGCAGCCGGAGAGAGGGGCAGGGCCTGGCAGGTCTGGAGGGAGGGGCTGTGTGTGAATTTGGGGGTGTTCGGACGCCCGCTGGTTTCCCTCCGTTGGGGACGGGGCAGCCGGAGCCAGACCGCCGGCTGGAAGCGGGGACTCGGGGGCGCCGCTGTTCCGAGACCGGAAGTCAGGACTGTACGGGAGCCGCCTGCCAGGCACAGTGTGAGGACTAAGGGCGGCAAGAGCGGGCGCTGGGGACGGTGCAGGCGGCAGGGGCCGGGCGCACAGCTGTTCCCTGCGGCGGCCGGGACCCATCGGGCCGAAGGCGGGTCGGGCTCCAGGGCCGGCAGAGCAGGCTGGTCACCGGGCCCTGACGTCGGCGTTGCCATGGGGACCGCAGTGTCGCTCCGCGCGCCCGGCGGAGACCGCGACCCGGGGGCGGGAAGGCGGTGCTGAGTGAGGGA